GCTGGTCCTTTTGCACTTCCCTGCAATGCAGACTCTGAGGTAAGGCTCGTCCCAACCCCCCACAGGCCCCGTGTCAGCATTGCCATCTGTCTCGAACCGCAAATTACGCACACACAGCCTTCTGTCAGGATCATCCCGGGGATCAAAAAAAGCCTCCGCAGCCGGGGTCTGCGAGAAGACGTGCACAAAGGTGACCCCAAGGCGGAACTCTGGACAGCCCTCGATGGAGGTGATCTTCTTTTTAGAGCTCCACATCGTCAGCTCCAGACCTCCGCTGCGATGCTCTTCTCTCCTACTCGCAGGAAGACACTGGGAGGTCCTGTACTGCTTCTTTGCCGCTTCTTTAGCCGAGACACCGAAGCAGGGACTCACCCCAAAGAGCACGGGAATCTCAACGCGCCGAGGCATCTGCACATCGAACACAGGATCCTCCTGCCTTAGCACCTCTCGGCTGAATCCGTTGCTGGCTGTCGTGCCCTAAAGATTATCTTCTCGCGGAAATGCATCTGAAAGGCGCCGTCCATGATAATTTGCTGAATCTCCATCAAGAACTCTAGGGCAAGGATAGGGTGCAGGCTGAGTTTCAACGTAATTTTGTTGAGTGCGCCAGCAATCCACCCCTTGAGAGGAATACTCTTGGCCAGCTTGTCGAGGAGGTTCAATGAAGTGATGCTCCAATCCAAAAAACTGGGCCTCCACCAATCAAGCAGGGTTGCCCCATCTCTGCCCTCTTCGACCTGACCCGCAGCTTCGTGTTAGTAGTCTGAAACCCGCAACTCGGACACTAGTGCCTTGCTTTGGGGCGTTGGGAGTCCTTATTGCAACAATAAGAAGCTAGACACCGATCATTCCGAAAGCAAGCAGAGCAATGTTTGCATGAACGTGTATTGGGCAGCGTGTTTGTGAAACTAGTTCTATTAGCTTCATAACCCAGGGTAGGTTTAGCATGGTTTACATGGATCGCACGCGCGCATGTATGTGTGTATGTATGTTTGTATGTATGTATGTATGTATGTATGTATGATGTATGTATATATATGTGTATGTATGTATGTATGTATGTCTGTCTGTCTGTCTGTCTGTCTGTCTGTCTGTCTGTATGTATGTATGTATGTATGTATGTATGTATGTATGCATGAGGCCACGGCGCAACTGATGTCATGGCCGGGAACTCATACCCCGTTCATGCAGAGCACAGAAAGCACAGCCGCATGGGAGGGCGACGGCATGTACAACCCTTCTTCGATCGCATTGCGTGTGCTGCGTTTGTATTGGAAAACAGCTTTTTGCAGGCCGGGCTACTACGTTTGTACTCCGAAGCCGCATTTTGGGGACCCGGCCACTCGAAGAGCATTCCGCGTACTGTGTTTGTACGCGAAATCAGCATTTTGGAGGCCCGGCCAGTTTGTATACTCCAAAACAGCATTTTGAGGGCCCGATCACTCGAAGAACGTTCCGCATACTACGTCTGTATTCCAAAACAGCACTTTGAGGGCACGGTCACTCGAAGAACGTTCCGCGTACTACGTTTGTATTCCAAAAGAGCACTTTGGAGGCCGGCACTCAAAGAGCGCTCCGCATACTACCCTTGTACAAGAAAACAGCATTTTGGACGCCCGGCCACTCAAGAGCGTTCGGCATATTGCGTTTGTGCTCGACACGATCCCCGCAGAAGGACCATCAGCGGCGTGGACGAACAAGCACGATCCCTGTAAAAAGGTCATCGGCGCGCGCCAAGTGATCCAAAATTCGCACGGATCCACAACGGGAGCGCCTTGGACGGGCACGATACCCGCAGAAGGTTTCATCGGCGAGAAAGCTGCGCACGGAGCCACAGCGAAAGCGAAGCGAACGATCCCCGCAGAGGGTTCATCGGCGATTTTGAAGGACATGCACGATCCAGGTATATCCCGGTAAAGGGTTCATCGGCGGTATTGAAAATTTTGCACCGTGCGGAATCCCTGTAGAAGGTTCTCAAAGTTCATCGGGCACGTAGAGAATTGTGCACCGCAGCACCAGCGCCTCGACACGCAGGCTCCCTATAGAAGGTTCACCGGCCACTTAGAAAATGTGCACCGCACCGCAGCGCCAGCGCCTCGACACGCAGGATCCCTGAAGAGGGTTCATCGGCGACGTAGAAAATGTGCACTGCACCACAGCGACACGCAGGATCCCTGTAGAGGGTTCATCGCGCTGAAGTGCACAAGTAATAGAAATAGATTAAACAGAAGTAGAAACAGATCCAAAAGCGCAGAGTGTGTGTGTGTGTGGATACGTGGTATATATGGTGCAGCGCTTCTGCCCCAGGCTGAATAGAAATCGATGTAGCATGCTATGTATGTGTGTGCGTTGTATATGTGTGCACTGTAAGCATGCACTATATAGGAGTGGATCTGTGCGTGGTGTAAGCATGCAAGGTTTATGTGTGTAGTGTAAGCATGCAAGGTGTTTTACAAAGAAACCTTCGCAAAGCTTTCGTGAAAAGAATTACAATAAAAAATCATAAGATTCTTCTTCAGGAGCCTGCAAGGTTGCAGGCAAATGCGTATCATACATTGCAGCCTTTTGGGTATGGCGGTATGAAGAAGCCAGAAGGAGCAAGCCAAAACAAAAAAGGAGCCACCTTGGCGAGTGCCCGCAGCTCGGCCGTCACTTCCATCCCGACCTCCGTCGGCAACCCTTTGCCGTTCGTAGCAAGAGAGAAGGTGGGTGTAATGTCCTTACTTCCCCACACGCCAGGTTGCACAGAACGACTGACTACATGAAGTGTCTGACGTCCCCAACAAAAAATCCCAACAGCCTCTACCAAAGCCTTCTGGCTTTTCAAGTCTCCAGGTAGGCCCAGCAGTCCGAGCAGTGGAAGAGCCCGAAGTCGAAAGCCTCCTTTGCCCGGCCGGTGGTGGAGTCATAGTTCCTGGAGCAGTATCAGACATCAGAACTACTCCTCGGACTTGCGTAACCTGCCGGCGATGCCGGAGCGCTGCGCACCCGAAGTGACAAAGGGGGCGCAAGAGAACAAGCCGAACCTCCAAAAACCGGGCCCGGGAACGCACCCTGAACCTTAGCGCAAGCAAGATTCACTGAGAGAGTCTCGGAGTCGCTCAGAGATCTTCCTCCCTGACCTGGCATGAAGCGGATGGAACTGCAGAGCAGACGTTCTCACATCCTACCAGGAATCACCGGAAGCTACCAGAATTACTAGAAGAGCTGCAACATGCTGCAGCATGCAGGCGCAAAATCTTCGCCTGGCGATGGGAACCAGGTGAAGTTGAGCGCCAGCTGTGGAAAAACATGGAACCTGGGCACAGTCTACAGAGAGCTCAAGGCTCAGGCTTTCGGGATCCCAAGTGCACCAAGGAACACCGAGGTCTCTCTCACATGGAGCTTGGTGACCCTCGCAGCATTGGGCTTCTCGTCCACGCTAAGCACCTCCACCAAGAAAGACTCGCTCTCCTCGGGGCCTTGACCTTGAAGGTAGGGGTCGAACCCACATTGCCACTCCATGCCACCCGTCAGCACATCGCCCTTGTGAATTGCGACAAAGCCCGTGCGATCCCAGTGCAGATACATCTCGTAGCTGCTCGTACATGCTAGCCTATCAAGCTGGGGTGTCTCGTCCAAGTCAATCACACGGACCTCTGCCTCGGCACCTGTGAAGTCCAGATCGAAGTGCAGGCCGCCATCGTCTGCCTCGAGATGCTGGACCTTGTCAGCCTTGTCCGTCTCCTCCAGCCGCCGCGACCCGCCCTTCTTGTGAAACTTCTCCGGGTCAGGAAACGCCTTCTGGAACTCTTGCGGCCGAGGGTGGAAAGACGCAGCGACTCCGGCAACTGCAAGCACCTCCACCACTGCACAGCACCGATCAATCTGTTGCGGAAATCGGAGCCGTTCCTACGAAATCCTGCTGATGTGCAATCGCACAACGAAAAAAAAGGTACGGGCCTCGTCTGCAGTTGCTGATGCACGCGTGATCAACGCCACCACCAGCAAGCTGCGCAGGCACGGCACGTGAGGCATGACGTCCTCTCGGCAGCTTGAAGTGTTGCAGCAACGTCTGCTACGAGTATGGCGCGCAGCTTATCCTTCCCAGGACTTCACCTGCAAAGCGACCGAGCAGCAGCCGCCCTGTCCTGACACAACATGTAGGATGAGAAGACTGAAGAAAGCTTTTTGCAGGGAGAGATATAAGTTTATATCTTCTTTCTTGAGGGTCTGAGCAGCACTTGCGTGCTCCTACACGAAGGGCTTTGGGCTTTTGGGGATTGAACTGTGCAGCACAGTAGCTGGCACACTGTATTCTGTGGACAGTGGAGGAACATGCCCCTTCTATGGTTCAGGATCTCTGATGCGCTTGGTTGCAATGTGGTTCTAGTCTGTGATCTGTTTGAATCATGCCGTTCAGCTGCGCTTGCGCCTGCACCAGAAAGATCGAGACTCGAAACGTAAGCCGTTAGCCCCGATGCTGCAAGCAGAACCCAAACCTGAAACCCTACGTCTCCGCCGCAACCTCTGAACCCTGGGCCTAAACCCTACGGCCTGAAGCTCTGATCGACCCTGTCCTGCGGGTTTGGAGGCCAGGTCGGGAAGCTCAGCTCGTGTTTTGAGCCACGCTGTGTCAGACGACGGAAGGCGACACACTTTCCACGATGAAAGGAGATTGGGCGGTTCCACGAATAGATGACTGATATAAAACTACTACACACAGACTACCCGAAACTGCTCCAGGTATCCAAACGTTGCAAAAGCCCCACTTTATGCCGTGCCGGGGCAAGCCAACTGCAGTGCAAGTTCTGGGGGACATCAAGAAGACGGCGAGGGACGAGCTCAGAGAAGCTCGGAGCGGCTCGGAGTGGCCGTGTCCCAAAGGTGCAGAAGTCTGACACACAAAACATGGAAGTACAGGCCTCGCAAGTAAGGCAGCTATACTGTGCTGGCGGCAAGAGGCGCTGTCTCGAGATGCCTCTCGGCCTTTACGAAAAAACTCCCCCCGGCCCCGCCACCTCGGGCACCAGCGACGGGATGCCCGCGGCATAGACGTCCGTGAGGCGCAGGGCGCTGGGGCCATGGGGCAGAAAGATGACCGCATGGAACTCCGCAATCCTCAGGGCTCCGAGCTTTGGACCCTGGATATAGGGTCTAGGGGTATTAGGGCCTCAGCAAAGCAAAACTCTTGGGACACCGTTGGCGGCTCTCTGTTCTGATGCTTCAGGGTGCTAAGGCTTCGCTGCAAGAGGGCTCGTCAGATTCGTGAAGTCCCGCCAACCCTCCCCTACACCCAGAATCGATTTTAACCCCCTGGCGGACAGGCCCAAGCGGCTCTTGAAAGGTGTACACGCGCGGGCCGCTGTTCATGTCAACCACCTGGGCGGAGAAACGCAGAACCGACTTGGAAAGAGTTGCGAGAGTTTGGAGGTTTGTAAGGAAGCCCGTATCTGGAACGTATGAGGGCTGTAAAAGGGGATCCTTTGGGACTTTATATGTTACTCTTCTACGATCTTTTAAAAGGGGTGATTTTGGGGCTTGAGGTGTTGGACTTCGAGTTCACGGGTTCGGAGACTAAGCTTTAAGCTTTTGGAGCTCTGGTTTTTTATTTGGGCTTGCGGACCTTGGCATGAGACGTTTAGGATTTCGGGACGAGGACCAGGACACACTTTGGCCTAAACCCGAAACCCTGCACCCGAATCGTCTTTGATGGCACACAGTCTAAAATCTTTCAGCTTGTGGGTCGTAACAGCTTTGCGGTCCTGTGAAGCGCTGAAAATCTGGACTGATGGAAAAATCCAAGAAACAGCTCAAAAACTCTTTAACTTAAACCTTGTAAAAACCCAAAACTTTATGGAACTCTCTTGGACTCCTAGAATCCACGAAGAGAACGATCAAAAAAACAAAACTTAGAACGAAACTCCTGAGCTCCGCGGTCTCGCCTCCACAGGGCTGTCGCTTGCTACTTCCTCGAGGAACATCCGCAGTGCCCTCCGGAAAGTCAGCCTGGGCTATAATTGGCCCAGGCAATGAGGGTTTATAAAAGAAGCTGCGCTATAGGCTATAAGAGGTACTGTGTAAGGCCTACTATAAGGGCTACTCTACTGTGAGAACACGCTCAAAACACACCCCCTCGACTGCAAGGGTTACTAAACGGCTCACTGCAAGGGTCGCGCAAAGGGTTAGCATTAGGGCTGCTACAAGGATTACCGTAAGGCTTACGAGAATGCTTGCTGCATGCACGGGTTTAGGACTTAGGCCGACTTAAGGCATAGGGTGCACAAGGCTTCGGCAGTTTGGAGCCCTTTTGAGGGGTTCTCGGAGTCAGGATTCCGATATTCCTAAACCCTAAACCCCTAAACCCCTAAACCCCCAAACCCTAAACCTAGGGTCCCTGAGTACCCGAAAGCCACAGAAAATCCTCCGAGGCCTTCTCATAGACCCCGACCTCAGCCCTGAAGCCCGAAGCCGCAAAGCCCTCCGAGCTCCCCCTGAACCCACCGCAGACTAAACCCCGAAGCCCCTAAACTCCTGGACCCCGTAACCCTAAACCCTAAACCCTAAACCCAAAACCCTATCAACCCTAAACGAGGGTCTGGGTTTTCGGTTGTCCGTCACGGGTTTAGGGAGTTGGGTTGAGGGTTCAGGGTTTAGAGTAACCCCTGCAACCCCCAAACCCGTCAGCCCTCAAACCCTAAACCCTATGAACCCTATAAACCCTACAAACCCTATAAACCCTATAAACCCTATAAACCCTATAAACCCTATAAACCCTATAAACCCTAGAAACCCTATAAACCCTAGAAACTCCATAAACCCTACAAACCCTAAACCTTATAAACCCTCTTCCAGGCGGCATATTCTGCCGGTTGTTCCGGAAGAGCAGGGCTCGCCGGGCTTCGGCGGGATGGTACCTGGAACAGGCGCCCTTGGCTTTCGGAAGTTTCGGGTTTAGGGTTTAGGGTTTAGGGTTTAGGGCTTAGGGAAAGCGGAAATCCTGCAAACGTGAGGCTTAAGAGCTTCAGGGTTTTGGGGAGTTCTGGCATTCAGGGTTCCCGCGTTTCGGGTTTTTGGGCCCAAGGTCCCAGGTTGAGGGGTGTGTAGATGTATGCGGTTCAGATGTAAGGTGCAGGGATGTAGGTTGCAGGCCCAGCATGTCGAGTTTCGGGACCCACCGCAGCCGAAACATCTGCTTGCCAGCACTTGGTCGTTTCGGAAAGCACTCGAAGACTCGAAGAGAAACCCGCAACAAAAGGAAAGGCACCTAAAGCTTGCAGCATGCACAGCAAGTGGCAGCACTGCAGTCTTTTGATGGCAGAAGCTGCTCACGTACGCGTGATGCGTAGCTTCTGCTTCGTGCCACTATTGCATTACCAACACTTCCAGCAGTCAGACTCATAAACCTGCTTTGCTCGTGGCCTAAAGCAAGCAAGACAAACAACAAAAGAAAAGGGACTGCGACCAGAATCACCTCTGCCAAGACCGAAGCAAGTACCGCAAGCATGCTAAAAGAAGCAGTGGCTGGGACAGCTGACACCTCAAAATATCTTAAAGCCAGGGAAGAGAAATAGTGGTGATAACGATCGTTCAACCGACCCAGGTGATGGCACCTCGCTCGAATGCCGAGTCCAACAAACGGCACATAGGGCAGGCGCCATCCGGTTTGGTAGGCCACCTGCAGGGCAGTCAGGGGCAGCGCGGCGGGTTTCGATTCTGGGGTTTAGGGTTTGCATCAGTTGCGAGCCTGAGCCATCCCTGCTCTACGTCTGGGAGTTTTTGCGCTTCATTGAAAACAGTAGCAGCGCAAAGACCACCCACAATCCTCAGAGCATATCGGGTTTAGGCTGCTTAGGACTCGGGACTGAGCGTTTCTCAGCTTTCGATTTTAGTCTCATCACCCCTGCCTTAAACCCCAAAGCCCTGCCTGCTCAGCCGTGATGCGGCAGCTGATGGAGAGGTAAATCCGCTGGGCTTCCATCATGTCCTTTGAAACGGCCAAGGCTCAATCCGGAGAGGGCAGCGACACTCCACCTTCCGACCCTTTCGCCCAGCCCTCCCAAAGCCACGATCTAGGCAGATGATGTTGCCGTGCATGTTTCATGCGCTTGTTGAACCCTCGAAGCTTTCTGTTGCCGTTCAGGTGCAGCAGATTAGCGGATGACAAAAGGGAAACCACCTACGCTTGGAAACACAGCCTCAGGCAGCCTTGCACCCAATCTACGGAGAAAATGTGGCCTACCAAGTGCAGTGAGGATTCAGAGCTCGGCGCAGAGTTTAGGAAAGCAGTACAAGTCCAAGACTTGTGTGGATGAAAGCCTGTCATACTTGAAGGCTTTCCCTCGTGGGTCCACGATTAGGGTTTTATGGGCTTGGATCTAGCCCTAAACCCTAAACCCTAAACCCTAAACCCTAAACCCTAGGCCCTAAACCCTAAACCCTAAACCGATTCTAGGGCTTTGGGTTTAGGGTCGGCTCCTTGAAGGCCCGCCAGAAGACGCGCAGGTTCGCCTCGTCCGCGGCAGGGAACCTGGGTCCCAGCTTTAGGGGGGTGGTGGGTTTAGGGTTTGGGGGTTTTGGGTTTTGGGTTTGGGGTTTAGGGGGTTTAGGGTTTAGGGTTTTGGGGTTCAGGGTTTTGGGGGTTGCTTGGGATTGAAGAGCTTAGGGTGGCAGAGATGGATGATACGAGTGGCAAGGAGGAGGGGAGGATCTTGGAGCATGAAGGTGAGGATGAGAGCAGAAAGCCGACAAGCTGATGCCAATCACAGCTTCGATCCCACAACTTAAGATCCGAAACCAACCACGGAGTCCCGGCTGCCCCCCTGAAAAGCCACTTCGGCAAGCAGCTCGTTCAGGAGAGCCATGTGAAGGACCCCGAGCATGGTCCTTCCGTGCCTCTCAGGGGAGAACAACGGGGGTTGAGACGCGGCTCCTCGGCTTGCGATCTTGTCCTATCGCATCGCTGATTTTTGCCCCTCCATTCTTCCTCTGGGGCATAAGGTCACAGTCCCACCCCTCACTTGGCCAAGCACTTCTTCAGGGTTTTAGGGGAAGCCGTCGAACCAAAGTCAGAGGCGATCATCGATGCAGAAAGTACAACCCCAAGCCATGAAATTCGACCGCCTGTCAACGCGGTGATTAGACCTTTTGTGGCAGATTCGAAGAACATGCACCCTCACGGCGCGTCGATCGTAGAGGAAGATGTGTCGGCTGAATTGAGCGAATGCCCGGAGAGAGCCACTTTGCAGGACGTTGCAGAGTAGCGTACACGTGGCTACGGCTACGCGAGGTGTGGACTTCACAGATCGGAGATGGTAGGACCACCCCTTTCTTCACAAAGGGCTGGATCAGGCATGGCTGCACTGGACGGTTGTTGCTGACCGTCCACGGTTCGGCAAACGCTTCAAAAAGTGAAACAGGCGGATCGGATCTCCCCGAAGGGGGGAAAGCTGGGTATATGTTACACGGACTCAGGGTTTCGTGGGCATCGACACAAGGTGCAAGGTGGCGCGTTCTGGCTAGCGGTTGGGGTCTTGGTCAGATGCCATGGCAGAGTTGATGCTGTCGTGACCCCACCTGGCGTTGGACTGCGGATCTCCGCAGGTCAGATAGAAGTTAGGTTCTAGATTCTAGACTCTAGCTGTTCTTAAGGATCGAGATGTTGCTGCGATTCTGCTCGCGTTAAGACCAACTTACGACTTTTCTAATCTTGAGGTGCTCGGCAACCCTGGCGAACAGAAACATACAGAAACCTTCAACTCGAAAGTGAACCCTAACCTCTGTACCTCTGATAAAAGCCCTACAGAATCCTCTATAAAACTATCCCCTTCAAGCCAGACCAAAAAAAAAATCTAAACCAGACAAAACCCCATAGACCCTACAGCCTATAACCCTAAACCTAAGCCCTAAAGCCCTAAACCATCAACCAGTGGACTCTGGAGTGTCCCTTGGCCTCGGCCGCACGAAGGGGCCTGAGCCGCGAAAGCATCGGGGAGGCTTTTGGGGTGTCGGAGTTATGGTTTTTAGCGGTTTTGGGGGGCTTCTTTGGGGCTTTAATGTGTGCGCGATTGTGGCTTGATAGGGCTTTTTGTTAAGGGATTTCTACCGGAAATCCCTCAAACACCAAGCTTTGGGGACTGGACTGTCGGCAGGGCGTCGTTATGATAAACCTCCAACTTGTTGTCGCCATGCCACGGGCTATGCCAATTCGTTATCATGTTAGCAAGCTCAATCATAGCCATGATCCCAGTCTGGCTCCCATCGGAATACCAAAATCTCTGCGCCCTGAACCCTTCATGGCCCAAAAACCTGAAACAAGCAAACTAAAGCAAACTAAACCCCTTACAGTAACCCTTGCAACTACAATACCTTTATAATACCCTGAACAAAACCCCAAAGCCTAAACCCCTATATCCCAATGGAACCCTTATAGAAGCCTTTACAGGATCCCTCGATAAACCTTTTAAAATCCTAGACCACTACAAGTCATCAAAGAGCCGATTCGCCGATAGAACCCCTTGAAAAGAAACCCTAAACCCTAAACCCTAGGCCCTAAACCCTAAACCCCAAACCCTGAACCCTAAACCCCAAACCCTAAACCCTAAACCCTAAACCCCAAACCCTAAACCCCCTGAAAGAGCCCCAGTGGCACAGCCACAGCGGCTCGCTGCAGAGGACCAGGTCGGCGTCGAAGAGCCCCGGGGCCACGGAAGGGAGCCACGTCTGGGGGGTTTAGGGTTTAGGGCTAAGGGTTTCGGGTTTAGGGTTTAGGGTTTCGGGTTTAGGGTTTAGGGTGGTCCGTCACGGGAGTTGAACTCAGTCCATAGAAGCCTGCTCGAATCCTTGAAGCCCCTTACCGTCGATCCAAAACCCTACACCCCCCTAGCCCAAGCCCTGAAAGGAACCTGCGACGAACCCTAAACCCTAAACCCAAAACTCCAAACCCTACACCCTACACCCTAAACCCTACCGAACCCCGGACTCTCATTGTGAACCCTGTGGTCTCTGGGCCTCGCCGACCTCCTCCACGCTCGTGGCCCCCTCTTTCAGCTCGGCGATCATCTGCTTCAGGGTGGCGAACTCCTCGGGGGGTGGAGGGACTTTAGGATTTAGGGCTTGGGGGGCTGAGGGTTTAGGGTGTAGGGCTCAGGGCTATAAGGGCGTTCGAGTTTTTGGGGCTCAGGGTTCAGGGGTTTTTGGGGGCTGCTTTGAGGGTTTGGCGGTTTAGGGCGTGAGGGTTTACCGGGTTTGTGTCTGCTCAGGATTTTGCAGACTTAGGGCTTAGCGGGTTTAGGTGTTTCGGGCTTCGGGCTTATTTTGGGGTTTAGGCTTTCAGGTTTGGGTCCAGAATTTCCCCAAGTCTGAGGGTCCCTACTACATACTACGGAGTCCTGAAGCTCAGGGTTGTGATGCCCGCCTGGGTTTGCGGATCAAGTTTTGCACAAAGCCTGCAAGCAGCTCTAGCCCGAAAAAGATCCTGCTGCAAAGGGGCTGTCTGGGGCCCTAGTTTGTGGTGCTCATGAGCAGAAGGTTCTTGAGGCTGACTCAGTGGGCTTTGATGATTCCGATGCTTGAACTACAACTTCTCTCGTGCTCCTTCACCTCTGGATCTGCAAGGACGAGGTATGCTCTCGAGGTGGTAGATACGCACAATTGTGCCAGCGATGGTGCTGCTGGCATTGCCACAGCGACGAGAACGGCCGATGCCGATCACAAGCGGAACCACCCCCACTAGCTCGGTTTAGCAATACCGAGTCTCCACACGCACCCGTTCCGCGAGCCAGTTGCCAGCGTCTGTGCCCTGGATTGCCTTCACCTTCGCACTTTCTGGTTTGTAGCCGCGCTGTTTGAAGAAGGCGGGGGTTCGGCTTTGGTCATATAATATGGCTGCAATAAGACCTTAGGTTCAAGGGACTGATGACTAGCGTCTGGGACTTGGGGAACAAGGTGTCGGCTTCAGGGTATAGGGCTTCGGTGCTCTCGAAGGCAGCCCTGTCGAGCTGCAGCGCTAGGAAACCGGAAAGCAAGCTTTTCGTCAGAGCTCGTACAAGGGTCTCAGTATAATTAGCGTTTTTTCGGGTTGAATTCCTTATCGTCATGCTACGACAAACATCGCAGGATTTATCAACGAATGCAGTAATCCAAACATTCTTGTCGCCGAAACCACAACTCTACGTCCGCAAGTCTACTTCTATGCCTGTGGAGCCGCGTCGGCTTCTGCGCTGTGATTGGACGAAGTAGGGCAGGGGAGGAGGCGATCCCGAAAGACGGAGCTTGTGAAGATTCCGGAATCATTGGGGGGTCATTCTTCGAGTTCAGGATTTTGGAGGTCTGAAGTGCGGCTTTTTTAACAGGATCTTGGCCGAGCCCGCCGCCCGAGTGAAGTACAACTCCAGGTCCAGCGCTTCCTGCACAGAAAAAACCCCTCCGAAACCCGAAGACTCTCCGGGACTCCGGGTTTCGGGCTCCTGAAGCTTGAAGCTCCGGGTTATCCTGAATGAGCCCCCTCCTTCTGGCTCTGGGAGGAAGGGCTCTTTTTTATGGAAAAGACAGCTGGGCACTGGGCACCCTTGAAACTCTGGCTCCTAGAGCTTCGGTCACGGACCCTGTGCCCCAAAAAGAGCCGAAGAAGGGCTCACCAAGCTCCTGCCCGATTTACGGTTTAGGGCGTAGTGCAAGCTCATACCACTGGCATCCGCCTAGCCTGCCACAGAAGGTTTCCAAGTCTAAACAACACAGCGATCCAAAGTCACGAAGAGAGAAGTACACAAGGTAGCAGCAGTAGCAGCAGTAGTGGTGGTGTGAAGTGGTCACGGGTAGTTTGCTAGGCACGTGCTCCCTTGAACCAACGAAATCCTCTATGCCGCCTCAGCGGTCCAGCTCGTACTTTGGAGCCCCGCGATGGTTTTCAGCGCCGCCTGAAACAGGCTTTGGACTTTCAGGTGGCTGTTGTTGGTGTTCAGTTACCTTGTGTCACTGTTGCTGCCCCTTCCTACTCTGCTGTTCTGCTATGTTATATGTTGCTAATGAGTTGGGACAAGGAAGCCCTTCGCAGAGTAGCGTCATCTACATTACCAGAAACGCTACTTCTGACCGCTGCGTAACTACCTGCAGATGGATTGCTTTTGCTGCTGCTGCCGCTGCCGGTGCCGGCGGCTACAACCAGCTCCAGTACTAGCACTGCCCACGACAGCGACGACCACCACTCGTGCCCCTGCATCCACCTTCTACTCATCCTCCGCCTCTCGCTCCTCCTCCACCTCCTCCATCACCACCACTTAAGGCACAATAGGAGGGACCCCTAGAAGGGACCCCTAATCCTAATACCCTAATAACCCTTATATGCCCCTTATATAGTATCATAAAGCCCCTAAACCCAAACCCTAAACCCTATAACCCCAAGGGTCCCTTTTAAGGGTCTCTCCTTTAGTCCCTTGAACCACCACACCACCACGACCACGACCACTACTGCTTCTCGTCCTACTCCTCCTCCGCCTTCTTCTCCCACTCCTGACTTCCACTCCTACCCCCTCTCCATGAAGTACCACCACCACTACCACGAATGCTGCTGCTCCTCCTGACCTCGGCACTGGCCCACAGCTCCAATGCCGTCCTGCGCGGAAGCTGCGCTCGGCTTGCTATGCTGTCATGTTTGGGATCACATGGCTCAAACTGTAGGTACTCTACCAAAAGGAGCCATTTGGGGCAACAGAACTTTCGACGCCAGTGCAGATCAAACCCTTCCCGCACAGTCCCATCATGGAGCTGGAGCATGGCGATCCTCGGCATCGGAAGAGCAGTTGGAACGGATGCAAAAGCCCCAATACCTGACATCCCAAATTCCCATGAGCAAGAGAAAACATGTAAAACCCCTTCAGAGCAATCTGTAGACGCTGCACACCAAGCCCCTTAGCACCATCAATCCGTAGCCCTGAACCCCAAACCTCAAAATACCCTGGCAGCACTGTCTTTCTCAATACCGAACCATATTTAAAAAATCAAAACAATTAAATTTTCACTTCGAACATCCCCACCCTACAGATAACGCATTTGGGGGCTACACCACTGACTGGCGTTGCGGTCGTGGGGTTCCTGGTCACGTAACAAGTGTTCGATTCACCATTGGGTCACACCACCGACTGGTGACACGGATGTGGGGTCCCTGTACACGTACCAAAACATGTGCTTGATTCAGGTCAGTCGACGATCCACGGGGGGCACACCACTGACTGGCGTTAAGGTCCTGGGGTTCCCGCGTTGGGCCCTCCAGGGAGTCTCGCGGTAGTCTCTGGGGTCGGGCACTCCAGGCAGTCTCTGGCGGTAGTCTCCGCGGGCGAGCCACAGACGAGGAGCGGGCGGGAGTAATAGCTGACTTTGAAATCCAACAACCCCACACCGAGGGTGGGGAAAAAAAATAGGACCTTGAAGAACACTTCAAATAATTCCTTGTAGTAACCCTTAAAAGGTTTCTTTAAGGGTTCCTTTCAGGGATCCTTTAAGGGATTCTTTAAGGGATTCTTTAAGGGCTCCTTGAAAGGGCTCCCTTCAGGGATCCTTATAACGGGATTCTTTACCCTAAACCCTGAAACCCTAAACCCTAACCCCCAAACCCAAACCCCTAAACCCTAAACCCTAAACCCCTAAACCCCCAAACCCCCAAACCCCTAAACCCTAATCCCCAAACCCTAACCCCCAAACCCTAAACCCCTAAACCCCTAAACCCCCAAACCCCTGAAACCCCCAAACCAGGAGCTCATCAGCCCAGGCTCTTGAGGCCGCTCCGCAGCCGCGCCGCTGCGGAGGCGAGGCCCTCCCGACGCTCGTTTGGGGTGGGTGGGGTCGGGGTGTTTTGCGGTTTTTGGGTTTAGGGTTTGGGGTTTAGGGTTTGGGGTGTTTTTGTGTGCATAAAGCTTTGGGAGTTTCGGTTGTTTGGGATTTTTGGGGGGTGTTTACGGAATCCCTTTTGCATCCAAATGCCGAGCCTTCTCAACCTTGAACTACAAGAAAGATGCCTCAGACACCTCCCCAGGCCCCAAGCCAAAAACCCAAGAACCCATACGCCGTACACTAAACCCGCAAACGCAGAGAAAAATTTCCCCCAAGCCCACTTGAAAAAAACAACGCCCCCCCAAGAAGCAAATCCCTCCGTCGGCCTCGCCAGTCGGCCGCGTCGCCTGGCCCTCCGCGTGCCACGGCCAAAGCCGGGGAGGCGGGAGGGGGCGCTGCGCCTGGCTTCCCTAAGCCCTCAACGGTTTAGGGCCTTTAGGGTTTGGGGTGTAGGGCTTTATTGCAAGCCCGAGCTTCACCAACCGAGGTGGTCGGCTTGAAGTCTCAGTGGGGCTGTACTGCAAGACTTTCTCGCTGATGGGTTCAGGCTGCTTTGGGGTTCAAGTTGAGGTGAGGACCTGCATCGCCTACACACAAGCAGGAGGGCTTACCACGTAATCCTCGAAGGAGGTGTAGTGGTGCGGCTGGTCCAAATTGACCTGGGCTCTTTGGGAAGAGCCTAACAAAAGGATGCTCACCTCTCAAACAGAAAATCCCTGCGACAATTTGGGCTTAGGGCGAGTTCTTTCGCGACTTTGATGCGAGACGTCTTCACCCCGAGCAAAAGCCAACTCAAGTCTTGAGAGCCAGAGCACCGCCATGTCGTACAGGGAGATGTTCCACAAGGAGCTCTCCAAGAAGTCCTGAGGTCTAGACTCGGCTGAAAAAGTCTATGAAACATCAAACCATCACAAGCTGAAATGGCACATACATGACACTGGTTCTCAGGCGTTATTATGATTCCAAGACCAGGATCCACGAGCCGAAGCCCAAGGTATCAAAGACCACTTCTTATGTCTAAGACGTTGCCGCCCGGCGACGTAGGTGTAGTAGGGTGCGTGCAAGAGAACCTCGATGCTGGCAGCAATGGCGCTGGTGGCCTGCACGTGGAACAAGAGTGCAACGAAAGTATCAGGTTGACAGGGCTGCATGAGTGCCAAACTCTCAGGCTTATGCAGCTGCTGCTGAAACAAACGTGCCATGGCACCGCAACGGGCAACTGCAACATTTGATACATGACGTCTTCGTGGAACAAAGGACAATCTGGCACCGGTGTTCGCCTGATCCCGCAGCTCGTCTTGGCCCATCAGCTGGAAACCGGTCAGGATAGCATACTCCTATCGGGATGCGGCATTCAAACTCTCTACAATTTTAAGGCTTCAGAACTTGGTGCATCGGCTTGGGATTGAAAGCTCAAGCTAGAACGCCGAAGGCCACTAGCCTGCTGCCTGCCATGCACTCTGTAGCAGAACTCGAGGCGTCTGCTATGAACCCCTGCTATATTAAACCCTAAACCCTAAACCGTAAAACCCTAAACCCAAAGCCCTAAGCAACGTCCCAGCTGCCAAGAGGAGGAAGCCGTAAGGACAGTCGAGAGGCTGCCAGGCACCTCCACTCTGAAAGGATCAGCCCTGCTGTCGTTGCTGCTTTGAATTCGACACAGTCTCGTCGAGGTAGAACTGAGGCAGTATCAATATTATTGTTCCTGGAAGCGGGCCCTTGACAAGGGGTATCGTTTTTGGGTTTCCCCTATCGTTTTACAAGACTTTAGGCACGTGACTGTATCTTTGACTCATGTTAGA